ACGGAACGCCGTCCAACTCATGTATAGATAGCAATTAAATTGCCAAATAAAAAGATTAGAACCCGCTTTAACGCACAGGCCGTTTTTAAAAACCGCGACGCTGAACAAGTGAACGACTGTTTTGTTACTTTAGTAAGTTAAATGTTTTCTATGGTCATAAAGACTAAACTTTATTTATTGTGCTATATTCTACCAAATGATTTCTCCCGTTCTTCCCCGACCACAGCGACGGCCGCCACAAACTTCCCCCTCCTCCTCACTCAGACACAATTGAATCGGTTTTCCCTATTGTCTCCATTTTGCTCGTTCAGTTGACTTTAAATTAAAAATCCTTCAACAATCGAGAAATATTTTATTTGTCTGGGAGATGGAAAAAAAATGTTGACTTTTATTAGCTCTCGTTCGAAATAACAGCCATGTTGTCGTTGCTCCGCTATGATCTTTATTGGCTCAGCATTGTACTTCAATGCGATTGATATTTTTATATTTTTTTTATAAGCCTGTGTATACAGGACAACTGTATTTTAGCAATTCATGCAATGCAATCAGTTTGCAGGATTATCCGCGAAAGCCTTCTGTGCCATTTATCTGATAATCATTTTTAATTCTACGAATAATGATGGGAATAAAACTAAATTGGACGATATATAATAACAGTAATAATAATAGAAAAAATAAAACAATCCAAACGCCATATAATACACAATCCTATTAAACACTGAGTTTTGAGTAATATTGAAGCATCATAGTTATAACTTAACCATTACAAGTATTATTAATGTTTCGAGTGCACGATTTCATAACATAAAATCAACCCATAGAATCTAAGAACAAAGCAGAAAACTGCTTAAAGTATTTATGCAAGCGGTTTAGGATGAAAAATTAATATTAAAAAAAACGTCGGAGATGAAATATGTATATTAAACGCATACTCGGTACACTATATAGAGCAAGGACACGGGTCATGTCAAGTTAACCTGACAGTTTATTAAGACGCCTTGGCAAGACGCAAAAGGGGGATTGAATTCTAAATTATTATAAACTTAACAGCCTTCCGAAATAATAACACGATACGATGCGGCTCGGAAGACCAAAGTGATTTGGTCACTAATATTTAATACGGTAAGAAATTGCGTTGAATTTCATAAGTCTCCAAACGTGCTAAGAGTAAACTGTTAAGATAGGTGGTCTGAGCGTAATAAAAAATATTACGCTCAGAGATAATTAAAAATCTTTTATGCCTTTTTAAAATTCAGTATGCAGAAAAGGACTCGAAAATTCGAGATAAGTGAAGTCTAACATTTAAAAGCAAATTGTTCAATTATTAAAAGGTTCAAAAGTATTTTTTACAAAACTAAAAATATATATACATGCTATGACATTATAATATCAAACGGTACATAGTTTGTTTTTTCAAGAAGTTCAATTCACGAGTTATTCTTTATTAATTCAAGTGCTTTATTCGGTTCGGTTATAAAATATATTAAACTTATGACTGACCCTTAAAGGTAATAGTTATTTAATTTTGTTTAATGAGATCTGTGTTTAAGGTAAAATAGCCCACAATAAGTTTTCATAAATGTAGTAACTCGTAAACATTTTTCTTTAAAAAAAAAAAAAGAATAATTACATCCATCGTGTAACTATAATAATAACATTCATAGAAGCATCCCATTATAATTTGTAGTACTAATTTATTTTTTCAATTGTCAAAAGCAGTTTTATTGTTTTATGCTTGTTGACTTATAAACTTTCAGTGTTATTTAGTCTTAAATTTTTCCGTTAAATTGTATTTAAGAAAAAATTTATCTCACTCTAACTTCATTTTTTTGCACAATACTTTATGCAAACATATCCTACATTATATCATATATTTTTATATTACATGCACCGTATCGGGTTTAACTTTAGTTCGTGTTGCATATTATATCGAGTAAATTAATATTATATTATCTCTTTTTCAGACTAAAATGTAAAATATGAATGTTTTCGTTTTTCAAAAGTTCTACTTCCTAGGCTTTGCTTATTTCATTAATAAACGAATGTGATCACGAAAAAAAAGACTTGAATGTAATGTAACCGGAAATATCTGAGGCGGATTTGGTTGGACAATATTGCAGAAAACCACTAACGGGCACTAACAAATGTCTTGATTTTTTCTTACTTTTGAAAGTTTATAATGATGACAAAATAAAAAGGGAAGCCTCCGGTATATTAGGCGAGGGGAGAGACAGCAGTCGAACTCGCAAACGAAATCGCTTAATTGCGGCATCGCGTTTTAATTGAATTTCCTTCCGGTAATTTTATTTATATACCCTATTTTTTTCTTCACCTGATTGTAAACGGCCGAAGTAGCTCATAAAAATCAAAGCGGTTCGCGGTGGCTTAAATATTCTCTCATTAACGTCGGCCGCGGTAGTAATTTGTTTTGATTAAATTATAAATTAAATCATCGATTAACATTAAAATTGCAAGCCAATAATTGCGAAATAATGGAAATGGCATCGCCAGAGCCCGATATATTAATTACAAATAGCGTACATATTATCTTGACTCGTATAGACGAATAATGTTATATGCGATTTCATTTCAAAATTGTAAAAAAAATATATAATAATAATAAAGTCTATCTACAGAAGTAAATACTAGGGGGTTTTGCCGTCATAACGTGAACAAAACGAATCCGGTCGCAGCCCACATCAATCATTATTAATGCGTACAATTCATGTAAAAAACGGCACAATTAATTATCCATGACTTAAGTGAATGCACGCATGTGTGTGTGTGGTTTGCAGTGCTTTCATCGCCTAAACGTTTTGGAAATCGCAATGGGAAAAAACATAGCAAAAAGTTAAATATTTTAGATAAATGGAAAAAAACGGTTTATTTTTTTTATTGTTTTCTCAATTTCCATCAAGCCCGCCGGATAGGTTCGCTTGGCAAACTGACGACAATGGAACAGCGCCAGACTATTTCGGATCACCTTTACTACACGACAAAAATCAATGAATACATATTATAATACAATATTTATTATAATATACTGACGACCGAGAGCAAATTATACTATGCGCTCATCTTATTGTTCTAACCCGTTCAATTTCACACAAGCTTTGCCAAAACCGCATGTGAAATATTATATATATAAAGCGCATTTGCTCCTCCTTTTGATGTTCACGCGTGTTTGCCTTTCTCTTGGTCCCCGAGCACGTCTACTACTAACCCCAAACACAAAACCCTACGGCATTATCGCCGTCTCCTGATACTCTGTAATCCGTCCAAAACAACAATAGAGGCGAACAGAACAGGAAGGTTGTTTTCGTTTAATTTCCAATGATTCTCAAAACTGTTAGAGGTACACGCAACAGTAACTATTATGATAGCCGAGCAAGTACACACACACACAACGACAAGCAAACCAATATCGCCTATGATGACAACCTCGTTAATAATTCATAGTTCTATTAACACAGACTACAATAAACCATAAAACAATAAACAACATAAACGAAAACGCTAATTTACAGATATTAATGATTATTGAATAAGGTATATGAAATTAAATAAATAATAAATGTTTAGTTAACATATTGTTGAAGTTAAACGTCAATGTTATCGCACTAACTAAATTAACTCGATGTAGCTTGGAAAAAAATATTTAGTTCCATTTTTTTAGCTAAACAATTAATATAACTTAAATTAACAATTAATTATTAACTCCTTATCGTTCGCCTGAAAAAAATCTATCGTGACACTTTTTTATCATTTTCATTTGTTTAACATATTATATTTTGCTAATAATATGTAAACGTGAAAAGCAGGACGCAATTTCACTAAAAATGGGCTTAACTACCAAAAGTATTATAATACATATTATATTGTAAGGAAATTTAGTGTAAGGAAATCAAATAATTGAATGAATGGTAAGCGCACTCAACCTAACCTCCCCTCCCCAAAAAAAAAAATTCCTACGGCGATTAGAATACTATCAATGTAAATTATATATGATAAACAATAATAATTGTCATAACATGTAAATATGAACTACCATATTCGGCAGTACGATTATTAAAAAAAAACCTTTTTTTTATACGGCTAACTCTAACTATACACTTCTTCAAAAGTACCTTGACATTTCTAATTCTTTAATACCTGAATTTATACAACAAAATACGCGATTTTTAATGGGGAATGGCCGTTCCATGATTTTTTAATTAGTAGATTCCTCATAAATAAATGATAACAGTGTCTGAAACTTAAATGGAGTAATAACAGGAAGTGTATCGTGAAATCAATATTCATCAACGCTAAGCACAATGAAATAATAATATAAAAACCGTCCGTTTTTATGTCATTTAAACGAAAAAAAGGGGTAATTGAACGAGTTAGCGGTCACTTTTAATTTGTAAAATAGAAACTCGACGTTGTAAGAAATCATAATTATGTGTACAATACGTTTAATGAAACTGCATAGTGGCACACACACGTTTGCCATGTATTACCATAACAATATATATCACGGTAGTTAACGACGACGGTTATTATTATTGTTTTAGGCGACGAATAAGCCGGCGTTCTTAGAAGCTTAATTAATTCTTTAAAATATACAAGAATAAAAAAAAATAATAAAACGGCTGGGTCGTAAGACCGACCGGTTTTAATTACGGCCCTATTGTTTCTGGGGGTTTGGTGACATGCGGTCATTCATTAAAAAGTTATTACCCGGGGACCGGAGGATATTTTGAAAACTTTAGACCTTTGCACAGACGTTTTTAGAATTTTAACCTCCAGCCCGGTGGCCCGTACGACAAGGCGGGAAGAGGACGAATTAAATTTTACACTTTTCTCTCTCGTTGGCGAGAACAAGCGCACCTGCTGATTGGGATAAAAAACAATTACCCGTAATTATAGAATATACATTTTCTTCTCTGGAAATCCAACCCTCCTACTTACACACATAATCACTGTTTTTTTATTCGTTGCATTTTTAGAGTACTTACCGGAAGCGAACGCGCAGACAGCCGAACAGGCTAGCACTGTGGTGACCAGCACTTGCCAAGAATACATTGTCCGCCTGTAAAACACAACGGTTAAAACATCATAGGTGTCTACGGGCTAACCAACCCGGACCAAACCATACACGTGGGATAACCGAAATACAATGTTCCCTAAGCCATAGCGGCGGTATTATTGGCCAACTATATTATTATTACGATATATTATTATGCCCGGGGATCTACACGACGATTAAGTCAATCGACTAGGGTACATGGAGATGTATTTGGTTTGTTTTCTATAATGGACTCAATCCATTAACACCGGACATTATCTCATCGGACATCCGGTTTCCGTCGACCTGTGGTAAGGATGGTAGTAGTGTTGGTGGAGGTGGTGGTGGCGGCCGCGGCTCCGGTGTTTGTCTCGCACCGCCGCATGGTGCGAACACACCACGAAAAACACCAGGTGACGAAGAGTTAATTTAACTGTATAGAATCGACAAAAATTAATTTGAAAAAAATTAAATTAAAAAAAAAACTTCGCGACGACTACCAAGACGAAAACGAGTACACAGCCGTGATCCGGTTTTTTTGGTGTCGGCGTGTCGAACGGGTGCCGGCGATACGCGTACACTGACTGAATAACGGCGGCGGCAACGGGGGCGGCGCAAGCCCCAAGGCGAAACGCGCGCGCGGCCGTGCCTCCCGCCGTCCCTAGGTCACCGCCGCCTCCTACTGTGGCCGCAGCCAATTGGCAAAACCGTTCGCGGCCGCCACAGGTATCGCCGAACCCGCCGCGGACGGACAACGCGCGACGACGGCTTCTTCTTTTAGTGCGAGCCGCCGAGAAGACGTCACGGACACCACGGATGTCATCGCGAAAAGCCGCCACAGGAACAAAATAATTATAATATCCATTTGTTCAGGTAAAAAAATTATAATATTAAGTAATTTTGATCGATGGTTGGGCGGAAAAATTATTCTGTAATTTTCAAAATACACGTTTTAAAATAAGGCGGGAGCAACTACGTTTACAAGTCAACATTTTACATTCAGTCCCGAAAAGTTTGGTTTGCGTTTTAACCTTTATTTGTATTAAGTTTGGCTCTTTTATTTACACTTTTATTCAAAAATATTCTAAGCTAACAAATATTTTCAATAACCACATCAACATAAATTTTACACTTAACCATACATATTAAATTTCATAAAGCTTTTCTCTATTTATTGAAATTTTCTCATAAAATAATAATGAAACCAAAAAAATAAATTATTCTATTATTTTTCCTACAAAATTCTCGTAGAAATTGATGTCGCTTTAAAATTTGAGTTTTCCAATAAAAATATTAGTTTTGGCAAACATTTTGTAATTTTATTTCTAAATTTGAGTTTAATTTTTATGTATTCTGAAAAGAAAAAAATATACGTGACAAAAATCTCCAAATTGTAATTTTTGGGTTAGGAATTATTTCTTAGTGATTTTAAATTCCAGGTCTAAAAATCAGATTGAAATATTTTTACGATACACACTAAGTACATAAAAATTCTTATTTTGTTCATTTTAACGTTTTAAGTTTTTAATGGTAAGAAACGTTGGCTTACTTGGGTTCCATTTTGAGCACCGTTCTAACGTTTTTGTACGTAAGAACCGAATAACATTTTTATAAGATTCGCATGTATCCTGGCCTAAATTTTAAAATATGTATCATATATTATGTTTAGTCAGTTGGAAATACGGTGCTCAATAATAGTAAAGATAAGTGGATATATATGTTAAATTATATTCTCCAAAAGTGTTTTATAAAGACAAAAATTATTTTTAGAAAGAACATTTATGATTGTAGATGATCATTGTAAGCGAGGTTTTTGTTTCCAATTAAAGTCTTCTTTCATCCTAGTGGATTTCTATGAATTCTGTAGGTATATTTTTGTTAGGAGTTGCGAGAATCTGATGAAAATATATTTATAACAGTGCTACCTATTCTTAACACCTCCGCATAAGAGAAAATTCTTACATTTTCTTCTTTTTTTGGTGTAGACGATTTTATGATTTCTATTGTTGCACAAAAAAATATCGTAAACCTGTAATATCGGCGTAAAATGCTAAGTATAGACTAAAATCAATGCATATGTATTTAGGAAGATAACATTAAAACTTAAAATCATGATCATATTTTGCGATTTAATAATAAAATATAAACAAAACCGGCGCATCATATTATGGCGATAATTTTATTAGGTACTTAAAGTTTCTTTATTCAAAAGTTATTGTCGCCATTCTTAACTATTATATTCCTAGATAAAATCAAACAAGGCCATTAACTCAGCATTGTTACGTTAAAAGTTTGTTTTACGAGTTTTCCACTACTACCGGGCATCACCGACCGCCTCTATTACTAACTACTACTTCAGGGTGGTCTGTCTATATATTATGTGAAGCCAAGCCTCACGCGGTATAACAAAGTTGATAAACATAAACGCGATACCCACCTACATATGTATATAATATACATCCTAAACATAACTCACGAATATCATAGGATCCTTATGGATTTAGTTTTTCTTCCCGTTTTCCCGACCAAAAGTTTTAATTAAAACAGGCACGTACTATGGACAACTTTTACGTTTCTACAAAGTGGGCAGCAGGAGAGGGTCGGACATAGCATTAAGTATACAGTAAAATTTGTATTGCTCTATAGTATCATCAAAAGCCAATTAAAACGAAAATAAACTCATCCGGTACTCTAATGTATTACACCAAGCTCGTGTTTCGATCATGTCAACTTTTTAAAAACGTTTTCCGATATTATTGATACGCGGTGAAATGGGGAAGGTAAGCTATTTTTGAAAAATTGAAACTAAAGTTAATTACAAATCTATAAGGCGCTTTTAATTGTACGTTGCACACTTATTAGATTTATTCAAACCCAGTTAGAAAATTGTATTGAAACATTAATATCACTATCGTAATGAGTTACAAGGCTGATCATAGAACTGGGTAAGATCAAGGGCGTTAAACCTATATGTTTGCATTCTAAAGACTTAAGTATTTGGCTACTTAAATTCGAATGTGCAGAAAATATATAACACTGCACAAGATAATTGGTTCATAGATTCATTGGTACAATAATTAAAGTGGTGAAAACAACCAAAAAGGTGAAAGTGACTTTAATAACATTTTACAGAACAGCAAAATAATAATTATGCCTTGTATGTGTTTATTAGTTATAGTCAATAAATCTTTAAAAACATGATGAAAAATGTTTAAGACACTTTGAAAACACTTGTACGCTTTGATTTTCATCACTTTGATTATACCCATCCATCAAAATACTACATTAAATCAGCAAAACAGTTTTTACTTATAAGCAAATCAATTTCAAAATTATAGTCTTACATTAATGACATTTTGTTTGTCAACTATTACTTCGATGCTGCATTGCATTTAGTCCATTAAAAGTTTTTTATGACATCAATACATTTAGAGGTCCCTTAACCGCGACGATGACTCATAATGAGTACATTTAATTTTAATGAACCGTTAAATTTATCAATTCGCTGCACTAGCCGGCTTAAACATCATAACTGCTTATCTATAAATTGGCTATTTACTACCTAGTAATTCTTTAAACCTCTAAAATTATTATCATCGGTATTCATAATTGAATGAAATTATTTTCAATGATATTTCGTTTATAAAAAAATGGTCTAAATTTGTATACATATTTTCATAAATTAGAGACTGAATTGCCAAGAGAAATAACTATTTTGCGTAGATATAAAATTATATAAAAAACTATATTTATTGATAATTTATAAAATGTCTGAAGTATTGATGCTGAACGTTATCGCCGCCTAACTTAATTATACTTATTTACAAACACGCTCAGAGGTCAGGTGGGGAAAAACTAAATAGAATTCTTAGGTTATCTTTTGTCGATAAACGATACTTGAAACATTTCAAGTGCTTTATTGGAACCAACTATACAAATACCTTGTTTTTGGCAGCTATATTATTTTATTCCCGTAAAAGCATAAATAGATAACCCCACAATGGCATTTCCGCGAAAACCTTGACTGAAAAAGTTATTTTATTTCAATTAATTAAACTGAACAATAGTAAATTTCAAAAATTATTCATAATGTTATGTCGTTTAAATTGAATTGTTGCGGACAACAATTATTATGTTCATACGTCAATGGACATTAAATCCGTGGTGATTTACCATGCATGTTTTGTGTACAACAGTGGCGTAGAATGCAAACTGTGTATAGTTTGTAGTAAACTATACATACAGTAATAAGTAAATATAATTCTATCATAGGTGACTGACATAATCGTACCGGAGTGTATATATCATGACTCGTTCGTCCAATAACAAAACGCATATTTCATTTGTTTTACAGAAGATACTTTCAACTCCGCAAATATTATAAATGTGCATGATTTATAGAAATTCTAAAAAACACCATTCATATATATTAGCATTTAGCGAAAGTACTTTTACATGTATATTATGTTATATCATAGACCTTAAAACTTTTCCCATATAAAATTCATTTTATGCAAAAGAGAAAAAAATATTGTTGGTGGAAATGGGATCACTATTAGGAAAAGTTTGCGTTAAAGAAGGAGGCGATTACTTTTACTGGTAAAAAAAAGTTTATTCAACTTATGCGCTTTGAATATACCAATAGCGATAAACACACATACAGAACGTAAAATCCTTCGAAACAAAATAAAAAAAGTTAAATAAAAATTTCCCTAAATGTAAATAGAAAAACTCGAACACGCCAGCAACGGTACACCGAGTTGTTAACAGAATTATTGTTTAACTTTTGACTAAATATTCGCAAGTTTACGACCGACATTCTTGTGCATCATTCGAATAAATCATTGACAAAATAATTATCTATGTAGATAACACATTATTCTAGTAAAAGTTATTCGAATCATTTTTAAACATATTAATTAAATAGTTTGCAAGTGCTTATTAGCTTCGATGCAGAGCAGAGAAGGTATTGGTTTTACTCTGGCGTAGGTTTTTTTGTGTCTGTAACACTGTAACTTTTTTAA